CTATTACAATTGTGTATGTTCTGAATTCATATTTATTCACTGGAATGACGAAAGCAATGTTGACTTCACTTTAATTCGTAATGAATTGAAGACAGAAGAAATGCATTTTACCTTAATACACACATCTGTAACAGTATCCGAAATCGGAAGTCATCAGTTGCAAGTTTGTTGATAATAGAAATTAAAAATTATTGAGGAATTTTTCTTCAAATGTTTGGCGTGTTCTGTTCCTGAAAGATTTACTAATATTCTGGAGATTTTTTTCAAGTTCTTCGGCCTTTTCCTTAGGGAAATTTTGCTTCTTATTTGCTGCTAAAAAATGGCGTCTGATTCTGTCAATGAATTTGATGGAACCAAATGAAAACGTGATAAGTTAATGTCTGATATTTACAGGCTCCCGCTAGACGGCGTACTCGAGCGTTGCGATCGCGAATGTTGTTTATTTTTTTATTTTTTTTAGAATTTGTTATTTTTTAGCAAAATGTTTTTTAACCTAACAGAATTCTTTGCCGACTGTTTTCTCTATAAATGAAGAAAATAAAGTAAATATTTAAGTGTTGTGAAAGGAATCTTATTTAGTTGTACAAAGTACTTCAGCCAAAATTTGGGAGCCACGTAAGAAAATTATATATATTAGATGATAAAATTGATCTCAATGTGTAATGACAGCTCAGAAGAGTCAGGTCAAAATTATATCTATAGTTTTAAATTTTGAGACCAATTTAAAAATTTTATTTAGATTTAGAGGTTTCTTCCTTTTTGGTTGATATACATTTATCATTAGTGATTGCAAAAATGCAAGTGTTCATTAGAAATAAGACGGACACAGTCCCATCGGGTTTGGGATCATTATAAAATTTTCATACATTTTCTTACTATTTTCACAATAAACCGTTTTTTCGTCTATTAAGTAAAAAAAAAAAGAACTACAAAAAATTATTAAGTGTAAATATTAGGAAGTATTAATTTAATAAAAATCGGGTTCTAAAGGATTTTGTTAGTTCGTCCGTTGTCTTGCTTGAACCTCAAAAAGTCGCACGAAGTCGCATTTTCAAAAACGAACGTATAACAAGGTTAATACTTAAAATTCACCCTCCCTACATACACTCGTAAGTAAAATTTAAGAACGCAACTAAAAAAGCAACAAAGCAGCGGAACGAGCAGATAGAAAGAATAGAAGGACTAATCCGATCAACTTTGGGTCAAGTACTACTCGGTATGCGCATAGTGGCAGTATGACATAGTGGGCGATTGTCGGAAGAGTATAAAGTACGCTGAAAATGTATGTTTAGCATTTCCGTAAAAGCTATTGAACACTGTATCCCAATTTAAACGACATGAAGTTACTGCCTCAGTGTGATATGTCAAACAAATAGTTTTCTATTAACGATAAAAAGATTACTTCGCCCGATTTCGAATCAATGGAGAAGTATGAGAAAAGTAAAGGTGGGACTAGTGGGACTGCGGAGTGGGGTCATTTAAAGTATCATTTCACGAGCTTGGAGAACATTTTAAACATCAGTATTAGCTTTCCGAGGGCCAAGTAGTGGTCGTCCACGTTCATCCACGGTGGCGGACTATTGGTACATTGCCTCAAAAAGAAGATTTAACAGGCAGCACACTGCTGGAAAAATCTCAAGGTGCAGGCAACAAAATCTGGACAATCAATATCGCATTTTGCCGATATTAGAAGACTAAACAAACATCTATTTTCACTACAACCAGTACAGAGTGCACCATTCTTACTTGCTAGTCGGATACTGCGATTTCTGTGGCGCTAGAATCACAAGAACAGAAAAGACGAGCAATGAAGCCGAGCACTCTTTACGGATAAAGTAGATTTCTTCTGACTTTTGGTTTTTGAAATGTAACTTGCTTATCGAGAGAAAGCTGGGAACACGAAATTAACTCTTCAATATCATCGAAAAGACCTGTAATGGAGATGACAATGTTCTCGTTTTGGGAAGTATCGTGATTATTATCTGTACTAGCTTCCATATCTTCTTAGGTGGTTCAAGCACAGGTACAGGGTCGTACCGAGGTTCTCTTCCCTGACACGCGTCATTTTAGAGGTACTATGGGTCCCCATAGTCCCCACTTCTTCTCCATGGGCAACAAAGCTACACATTCATTATACAGTGGCTGCCGAACAGTTGTTAAAAAGAAATGTAATGCGATATTCAGCGAATAGGTCACTCAAAAATGTACCCAGATATAAATCTAATTTAGCACTAGCGGAACAGTGATGGAAATTGACAGCCACCAGCAATGGTTCCAGGGCCACTATCGATGCTTTAACAGAAAGAGACATAAACAACGTAAACAGTTCTTTGATAACATTGAATTCAACATGGACAGAAGCGTAAATCTGGAATAGCAGTTAGGAAGAAGTGATAATTACCTACTCAAGTCAGGATTTTCCTTACCAAACACACCACATGGGAGTTTCGGTCTTCTGCTCAATTATACTCAAAGCTAAATTTTCAATAACGTTCTTTTTAACCATTGATTTTTTTTGTTTAGTTTTGTTCGCTTTTCTCATGTTCGTATGTCTAAGAGATGTTGTAATATTATTCGTGTCAATTTAGAACACTTTTGAAGCGCGACTTTACAATGGAAAAAAAAAATTTAGTTTTTGCTCACCAGTAAAGTAAGAAATAAATATAAAATTTAAGTAAAAGTAGAAATACCTACGACAAATATTTCCTTGAGCTACAGTTCCTGCTTCACAAACGAACATTGGTTCATCTTCATCGAATTTAACATACTCTACGTGAAGTTTGTTGTTCCCTAGCGAGATGTCCAACTCCCCAGAGTATGCTGCATCTTGCAAGAATTGCATAGCCTCTTGAACACTGTGCATAAGAGAATTTTGTTCCCTTCTTTCTTCAGAGTTCTCGGCCATCTTTCCTGAAAATAAAATATAATTAAAAAAAATTTACAGTTTCCCCCCTCCTTTTTGAAAAATCAATTCGTATGTAGTTGGAATGATAAACATCAAATACCACCAATATTAAAGATGATAACAAGTAACAGTGGTGCAGTAACTCTAATGTTTTTTTCTAGGGTTCAGTTTTGTAAAGGCAGTCTGAATCTTAATCTAAACATTTCTTAATCTAAACATTTGTTAATCTAAACATTTTTTGTTCTGGAATTAAGAGATTTTGTTTAGCTGCCCTGCTGAAGGGGATATCACTTTTTAGTCTTTGAACGCTTCTCCAAGTCTTTTAAATAAGCAGCAGTACGGTGTTGTTCTCCGTAGCTGTATAGCTTACGAAAATGAAAAAGGATGTTATAGCGTAAGGTCGCTATACCAAGATTACATTAAGTAAGTGCAAATATTTTCTTATATTTCACAAATGCTGCGTTTATTTCAGCAAAAAACACTTTACAAGTACAAGTTAAATAAAATTACGATACCAATTTTTTTTTATCAGTAAGGTAAAAGTATCATTTAATATAGAATATTAATGGTTAAAAATACATTTACATTTTTTTTAAAAGACACCTTATTATATTGAGCATAGTTTCACTGTTCTTTTCTAGATTTTGAATTTTGCTTCATGAAAATTTTATGAAATTAGAACATTTTGCTATTATGCCTTTAGAATAACATCAAGATTTTTAAATATTTTAAACAAAGTGTTTTTCGGAATCTTAAATAATTTAGTCATTTGTGTTACTCTTCTATCCACATCCTTTAAAACTGTTAACTTTCGCTCTAAGCATATAGCATTACACTGAATAGTTGCAACCATTTTCGCTAAATAATATACGTCCAGAGAACGAGCGAAACTAAAAACAACCAAAAAACAACCACTTGCTTTTATTTCAAAATAAACCACATCTTACAACACTTCGCAAAAAGAGTGAACACAATTTTCAAACAAGAAAAATATGATTGATGAAAATATTAAACCTTCTAAAACGAAATTTTGAAAGGTTGTGATTATTTAGGAAACACCGAATTTTGAATGACTTTGCAATACACACTTCAAATTCTCAATAACTGTAAGTAACCCAAATGTCACAGTTTTTTTAAACCATAGATGACGTTCACGATCTCATCGGTATATAATAGGTGGTCCAGTCACTCTCTCTTCATTCATTGAGAAAAGATGTTTCATGTTTATTGAGCGCTGACATCGAAAGAAATAGTGGTCTGAAAAGTTATAAAAGAGAAAAAATGTCTTACACCTAATTTTTGAGTAATTATCCGAGAATTTACGAAAATGAAAGAAAATTTCGTTTGCTTTATTGGAATGAACGTTTCAGTTCAGGCGTTCTGAAGAACGTTAAAATAACAATGCGTCTATGGAACAGCAAACGGGATTGCATGTGAATTTCGTTATAATGAAAGGATGAGGGATTGTACTAAAGAGGGTAGAATGTATCATTGTCTTCAACATTAAATTAATTTGCTTGCTGCTTTTCAATTAAAATAATCAACCAATTAAAATAATTTCAATTAAAATAATGAACCAAAATTTGAAATTTCTGGGTGTTTTCTCCCTAAAGCCACTCCATAACTACCTCTATACATAAGAAGATAATTTATAGCGTGTTTATAAACATTTGTTAATCATGCAGGGTGCGTAGCCAAATTTTTCAACAAAAATAAGCACCTTTTAAGCACTCAAACATATTTTTAAGCACTTTTAAAAAATATAATTAGTCAGGGTTGGCAAGTTTTTGACAATTGACGGTTTTATCCGGATTTAACCGTCATGTCAAAAAAAAAAAAAAAAAAACTTTTGGCATAGTTTTTGACAATTGTCAAAAATCATGAAAATTTGAATCATAAAACGAATGGCGTTTTCATACGCTAAGGACCGACGATACGCCGAAATAGATAGGGGTTGAATTAATTGTAAAAACGTTCAATAGAACAATATGAACAATGTCTTTTTGCATAATACGTGGCGAAAATCAACATGGTAAAGGGAAAATTAAGCACTTTTTTAAGAACACCCAATGAATAAAGCACGAAAATTGAAAATTAGCACCTTTAAGCATTTTTTAAAAACGATACACACTCTGTCAAAGGGTGTATTATGGCTTTTACCCTTTGCAAGCATTAAACCAATAGCGAGAGTCATGTCACTTTGTTTCATTATTATTACGTTTTTTCTTCTTTTGTTGATGAATTTGATTTCAAGACATTGTTTAAATTTTTTCGTGTGCTTGTCTAATATGTTAATATTACACGTGGTTATTTTTAAAATGGTCTTCGTTTAATTTCACTAATAATTGATATGGTAAGTGAATTAAGAAAGCAAAGAATGACGAAGATAGGAAGGAATCAATAGAGTGGTTCAGCGACTCAGTGAACCAGTCAGCCGTCGAATAAGTGACTCGAAGTATAAGTGAATCAGAGAATTAACTAAGTAGTAAGTCGGTGTACCAGGGAATAAGCGAATCATTTTATAAATAAACAAAAAAATTTTAAACTTATTTGAAATACAGCAGTTGGCAAATCCTGATTATTCATATTTTTGAAAATTTCCGATCTTAAGTTTTGTATTACTTGACACCTGCTTATAAAATTATTCATTATTTAAAATAAATTTAAAATATACTGAGTGTTCCGTAAAAACCACGCTTTATGTACATTTTAAAACCCTTATCAGGAATGAAAGCTAATAAGTATTACAGAAGGGGGTCATAAATTAATATTTAAGCCAGTAAAAAAACATAAATAGTAACATGATCGGACAAATCACTGAACAGGAGGGTGAATATAATGAAAAACAAGACAAGTTTGATTGCTGGAGGAAACAAGGATTTTAGGGATGAATTTTAGTAACACCTTTAAGCATCTGTATAGTGTTTATTATATTCGCCTTTCTCTACTGTAATTTCCCACTTCATTTATTTTATTTTCACCTTTGATATGGATTCCAAAAATACACATTAAAGGTAGTCTTTACAGAGCACCCTGAATAATTACTTAAAGTAGATAATAAAGCAGAATAAAAAAAATTAGAAATAAATAAAAGTATTATGCAAATGAATGAAATGTGGCAACAAGTATTTGAATCCGATTAAAATTACAACAGTTGAAAATTACAACTTCGACAGTTGATTTTTAGTGTTCTTACATCGACTAAAAATTAAAACAAAAGTCAATTCAATTAATGCCATATTTACCTCTCAAGTAAAATTCTAATTCAATCTTGTTTGGATTATTTTCCACTAGGGTAACACCAGATAATTCCGGACGAATATCTTGTCCAGTTCGGGGATATCCAATACTTCCAACATCAAACTGAGTCACACTTTCTGTGACACCATATCCTGAGGTCCCAAAACTCGACAAGCTGCTTCTGTCTAGAAGATTGGGTGACTCCATGTGATGAGAATCGAAACTTCCAAAAGAAGAGGTTCGATTCATGGCTCTTGATTTGGCGAGAAGATGAGGCATTGGGACGCCTCGTTTGAACCTGGACATGCGCTTGGCATTGTTATGGAATGAACGTCTTTTTCTTAAAAATATTGAATTGGATTCTTCTTCAAGTTCTGTTTAGAAGTGGAGGAAAATTTTAAAATAAGTAGTATTTGCTTACGAAAACTTTCATTAAAGGCATTTTTTAAATTGTAAGGATAAGTGTTGAAAATACTTACTGTCTCTTTCTTCTTCACATTCTGCAATCATGTTTTCAACTTCGCAGATGACATTATTTCGACAAACATGGCTAACCTGCACAAACCAAAGATCATGTAAGACGGTGTTACACGGTCTGTATACATTTTAAAGCCTTTATTCACTTCTTATAAGGTTTATTTTTGAAACTGAAAGTATGTTTTGTATAATTTTTCTATTTTGTTTAAAGCGAAATATTTTTTTGTAATTTTTCCTTTTTATAATTTTGTTTGGGTTGAGGAAACTTAAATTTTTGAAGAAGCATTTTTTTATTTTTTTATTTACTAACAGAGGACCGATTATGGAATTTGTTGGAAAAAAAAAGATTTTTTTTATTCTGATGAGCACTCTGTTTTTAAAAGTTTAATTAAACAAAAATTTTCAAACTTTTTTTCTAATGGAATTAACATTATAGTATTGATTTATTTTGTTAAAAAAAATATAAGTTGATAAAAATATAACATGGAGGACTTTGCGACTCGACAGAATTTTAACGTGCATCAGTCACCAACTACACGGGGAGTCTTCGGACGGCGGGGTTCGAACCCACGAACTCTCGAACATGGGCCCAGCGCCCTACTGACCAGGCTATCCCGGCCTAAATATAAGTTTAATTAGTTCAAACCGTTTTAGAAACTACACTGTCTTTAGGGTCTTAATTAGCTATATTAGGATAATTATTAGCATTTAGCATTTTTAATAGTTAGGTTTAAGTAAAATAATCGCACAATAAATTTTACTACAATGCATCAAGTTTTTTTAAAAAATATATACTTTAATGTTTTTTAACAGTAAATTCATAAATTATTTTAAAAAAATTTAAAAAGTGCAGTGGCCATTTGAAACAGTTAAAACCGTACTCCTTGTTGTTGCAAAAAAAAAAAAAAAAAAAAAAACATATTATAATTTCCTAAACTTCGATGATTAAAAAAGCCAAAATCTCTTTAAAAATAATCCAATTTCAATGAGCAATACTCAGCACTCACTCTGTTGGATATTTTTCTTTCAAGATGCTTTTCTAGTTGGGCCAACAGAAAGTTATCCTCGCACGTGAGACCCTGTCCTTCGGAAGTAACAGAGACAGTTCCAATTTTGTAAATGGCATTGGAGAAGAAAACAACTGCAAAATAATATGTAGAAATCAGAGAGGAACAGTGGGACAGGTATAAAATAAGACGGGCAAAATACATATCACCTGCAGGAGAAATCATATATAAATTAATTTAACATCAAGAAACTCATCCGCGTCTGGACTTGATAATCCTCTGAATTGGTTAGTGAGGGAGTTGCCACAAGGGTTTGCTTGTAAGTCGCAAGTTCGGATTTACGTATTTTACGGCTTAGGGCCCCCGAGAACGGGCAATACCCCAATTATTCAATCCTTTTCAAATTTTAATAGAATATTGGTAGCATAAATAGTGTACAAAGTTTCAGAAAAAATTACGTATTTTACGGCTTCGGGTTCCAAGAACGGCAATACTCGATCCTTTTCAAATTTTAACAGAATATTGGTAACATAAATAGAAATCTGTAAACAAAGTTTCAGAAAAAATTAACAATAAGTTTTAAGTAACAGTTAGAAGAAAAGAAAATATAAGATTAAAAAAATTTTTTTTTGTATCTAACACTTTCGGTAATCGTTTTTAGTTTCCTTAAAGGTATAAGATTACAATTTTCGTTTGAGAATAGCTGTATTTTACAATAATTCTTATTAGGATACGAATTGATTATCATCCATTAACTACAGTATTTTTTTTTTAAAAAAAAAAAACATTGCGTGGTTAAATCGCATTTTTATAAATATGACAATTAAATGTCTAAAAGAAGAAAAAAATTAAAAGATAAACTTCAAGGTTCTTTTTAATTTTTCTTTCTTAAATATTTATACTTGTTTCGGTTTTGAAATATTTTTAAAAAAGTAAAAAAATTGGATTTAGTATTTTTATTAAAAAATAATATATAAACTGTTTTTGATTAAAATCACTCAATAAACTTCACAAAAAATATTCGTAAGACATGAAAGGAACTGAAAAAAAGGTAAGAGGAGAAAAAAAATTGACCTGCTTGATATTATAAAGCCTCATCTTCAATACCTTCATTGAGTTGAGTTACAAAATTTTGCACTTTTTTTCTATGTTTTAAAACAAAATGAAGCAATTCGTTTCAAATGAAAAAGACAAACTTAGATAAGAATTGATATATTTCATTGAAAGTACACATAAAAGCTTTTGGATAGTTTCAACTGAAAGTAAAATGGTTTCGATTAAAAGAAAAGTACATTTGAGAGAGAAAAAAAAGAAGAAAAGATGCAGAGGAAAAAAGAAGAGAAAGATAAAGTTACTGAAGCACTTAATGTTTTTTAAGGGAGGGAGGTAAGGAGATCTTAAAAAGTGAAACTTATAAGGCATAAGGGAGGCCCACAGGGTGACCATTTGTTGTAACTTCGATTTTTGAAATATCTTTCTTTCTGTAAGAAGGTATTCGGCGAATTTTTGAAGATGAGAGTTTCCATTAAGCACGTCGCATCCAAGATAAATTGAGTATTTGAGCATAACACATTAAATATTTTATATTAAGCAGAAAAAAGCAGAATATCTAAAAAAAATTATGATTTAATGACTAAAATTTCACACCCGTAAAATTTCAAAGCATGAAAAATTTTTTAAAAAAAGTTGCTTTTTTTAAAAATATTTATTTCTTGAGAACTAACTGTCAAATTCCGTTCAAATTTTTTGTACTTTGACGTTTGAAATGCAGTATAAATTTGTAGACTTCACTGGTAAAAATTATTTCGACCATAAATAAATGAAATGATAAATATTTTAAAACAAATATTGCTTGCACGGGATTATTTGTAGATAAATAGGTTCTGCGATTGAGCGCAAAAAGCACAAGTTTGCAACCATTGTTGTGTGTTATAATGTGAAGTCTGAGGATGACAAGGAATGATTTAATAACGCAATTTATTACTAAAGTTATTCTGACTTTAAAGAAAGTCGCGACGTAACTTTACTTGGGTAGGCAAGAAATTCACATATACGCTTACCAAAACAGCTCAGGGGTCTGTCCAGACATTTTGTGAAAGGTCCGTTTTTCGTGAAATTGTGAAAAAATTACTCACATTCTTTCAACCAGGGTCCGCTTTTATGAATTTGTGCAAATAGGGTCCGTTATTGCAAAAAAAAAACTTTTTCAAGGAGTTTTTAAATTGTAAAGACATACAAGATTATGCTCAACACTGTAAAATTATAATTAAAAAAATTAAATTTTAAAAAATAAACAACAATTGCTGCTTCTAAATTAGAGATGCAACATACAAATATTTGGTATTTAGCCTATACTGCTGAACGCAGAATATTCATTTCGGACGAATAATGGAAGAATCGTCTGCCGAAGACAAAACTTAATTCGTTTACATCCATCTTTCTTGTTTTCTGCCCTGGAAAGGGTTTATTCGATTAACAAAATAATAATGAAGATAAACAAATTTGTGAAGGGTCCGATTAAAAGAAAAATCATTTTGTGAAGGGTCCGTTTTTATGAGATTTTTTAGGTCATCAAGTCCGTTTTTATGAAAAGATATTTTGTGAAGGGTCCGTTAACGGACCCAAATTTCTTCTAAACAGACCCCTGCAGCTGACAGCAACTCATTGCGAGATGTAAATTATTCGAGAAATCGCTAAAATCCTTCATATTTCTGCGATGCGAACCACTAATGTCTTTTTTCATTTTTATTTATGAGGTAATTGCCTACGGACTTGTACAAGCAGGTCATTGGTGATTTTGTGAGAAAAAAAAGAGCAACTTGATTCTTGACATAGGTAGCAAGTCTGTTCAGCGTAATAGGTTAAGCGTGCAATAATTTTTAATAAAAATGCACAGATCGGCGATGACACTGGGGATGGAGCGTTCGCCTTTCAATGAGATGAACCGGGTTCGAATACCAGCGATGGCTGATCGATACGAATCTGCATCCGGCTTGCACCGACCACAGTGCTGACGTGAAATATCCTCAGTGGTAGATAGATCATGGGTTAGAGTCCCTTTGCCGTCTAGTGGTCTTCCTCTCCATGTAACGCAAATGAGGGTTAGTTCCATCAAACAGTCCTCCACGAAGGCAAATTTCGCCCAATACTTGATCCAAGAGTTCGCTTGTCTTCTGAATTGTGCTCAAAATTACACGACTACGGAGTTGAGCATTAGCAGTCGTAAACCCGAAATTCGGGTCAGCTGTTTGACGACGGTTATAAAATAAAATAAAATGACAGATTCGTGTTTTTTTGTCGTAGTTCACGTGCCAACGATATTATTTCATAATGCAAAAACAAGGAAAGTAAATTGAGAGCTTACTTGAGCAGTCTGGAAAAGGTAGGTACTCCGACGGTTGCCATATCCCATCGTACGCACAGAAATAGAAGGGTGGTGTCTTCATTGCAAATCCATAGCCTTCGTTGCATGTGAGAGAGCAGAACACTCCATTCTCTGCTTCAGTGCAATTCGAACGCCCGTTGATGGGATCAGATGGAAAGGCACACGCATGCTCTGAAGAAAAGAAACATCATTGAACTGAGCAGTCAACTGATTATGATAATCAATATTTTACAAACAATACTTAAAATAAAATTAGATTGCTAATCAAACATACATTCCGCACAAAGAGAATATTAAGAGGAATTCGAACTAGGCTTAACTAAACCAAAACGAATAGAAATTAAATATTATAAAATTATTTAACAGAATTGACAAATTTATGCAAATTCTCGTAGGAGAACAAAATTATCTTTATTATACAATTAAAAACATACATAAGCTTTTTATAACAATTAACGTCTTTTTCTGTGGAATGCTCAGCAGCGTGCAGACGACAACAAATGTAGGCTGTTATATAGGCTGTTTGGAGCTGTTGTCATCTGGTGGTTTCAAAACGTGAGCCAAAATTGGATAAAATAATTCACGAATAAAGTAAATGCATCTTAGCTTCAGAGCTAAAGAGAATAGAAGGGCTAGTTCACTTCGCTCTTAGAGCTGAAGCTACGATTTCCCTCCTCATGACGTCACTGTGTCCACAGATCTCGGAGATCGCAAGCAAAGGTATGATAACTTTGCATCTTTCTCTTTGTAAAAATAAGTTAGACTTTTTCTGGTTATTAGCTTTCAAACTTTACGTAATTAACACATTATTTCCGTTCATAAACATAGTTCAAAAAAACATTCTTGGTTATTATATTAAAAAAAAAAATACCATTTTAAACTTATAAAAATGTTTTACTAGCTGGCGAAAATGACACTATAAATACTTTATTTCAAAAAGTTCAGTTTTAACTTTAATTATTAAGAAAAATGAAATCATATATCGACACTTTTTTTGTCTACATATTCTTTTATAACGATAAGTTGAGTTAAATTTAGAATACCTGATTTTAAAATATGTCGTTAATAGCAATTTTTTCATACTTAATTATTAGAAAACATCAACCTTAAACGCTAATTACTGAAACAAAATAATAATTTAGGTTCATAATGACATTAAAAATTTTACAATTGTTTATAGATATTTAAATTTACGATGATATAATTTATAGATATTTAAATTGAAGAGAATATAATTTTTAAATAAAATCATAAATATTTAGAATAACTACATTAAAAAATATGTTATGAAATTAGGAGAATTTCAACTATATACTATATATTTTATTTATACTTTTTATTTACATTTTAATTTTCTTTGACTATATCCATTTTTTAATTCTTTTCACCTGCCTTTCTTTTTGAAGTAACGAGGCGGTTTCTATTTAGATAATGAATTTTTATAAAAGTTCTTAACGTCAGAATAAACGTATTGCTGTTAAAACAGCAATAACTGCGTCATTTTGGAATCCATTCTTTACATAGTTGTTCATTTACTTTAGGGAACATGCGGAAAATTATATTTTTTCCTTTTGTTTTTGTATCAGAATTTTTGCAAGTTGCAATCGCGCAAACTGGCATTTCGATAAAAGTTTTAAATTCTTGTAAATTCACTGCAAAAACTGAGGAAAGTCAATATAGAAAATAACTGTAACATGTCTTAGAATAACATGTCTTAGAATATAATATGTAACTAGCCTTACTTATAGACTTAGAAATAACATGGTAACAACTTAGGTAGTAACTTAGTAGTAACTTAGGTAACATGGTAGGTAACTTAGGTAACTTAGTAACATGGTAGTAACTTAGAAATAACATGTCTTAGAATATCTCGCAAAAAGAAATAATCCAATATTAGTTAGAGCTAGTAAGGCTGAACGCTCCGTTCTTGAGGTAAAAGTGCGAGCTTTGCGCCAAAGTGACGTCACTAGAGAAAATCGGAGGATTGGAGCGGCGAGAGTTACTTCAAAGGAGTGAACCAGCACTTCTATTCTCTTTAGCCCTGTCTTAGCTTGGTGTAAGCTTCCTCAATTATTAATGTTCTACAGCCTTTAAAGTATGCATGAACGCTTGATTCGGTATTAATTTGAAATAAAGTATTCATGCACACAGTTTTTGGAGGAGGTTTTCAACACTAAATTTGGAAAGGTATTGCACCACAGTTCTTACAGTGTAGTCAAACGTACTTCACGTACAAACGTAGTCAAACGTACTGATTAAGTTCCAACTGAACAGGGTCCGGGCAAATCTCTCTTAACATTACTACCTCCCCCCCCGGTATTGTTCAACATTAGCTATCAAACATAGCTTACAGTTTATAAATAAATAAACTTAGTTAATTATGCGCTTAAATACGCGTATATATTCTAGATAGTCGACACATTACAGTAAGTGTTAAATAGTACATCGTAGTATTTACTAGAATATAATATTATATGTTAGCACGATATCAAATTATTGTTATTTAAATAGTTATAATTTTAAAAAAAAAGCTGAAATCTGTATTTTAGGCAACTTTCCAGTTAGATTCACACTTGAGAATTATCTTCGCCATAAAAGAGGCAACTTTGTTTTTGGTTTTGGTAATTATTGCATGATTATTTAGAAACCAATCAAGTATCTTAGATTCCAAAACCATTTTTTCAATGAAAAAATTTCGCATAACCTATGTAAACAATGTTTACTCTTTTAAACAATCTCAAATCATATTTTCGTGAAATGTGAAAGCTGTGGACTCGTCTTTAAACATAGGCGATGTTCTAGTGAATTGTAAAAATTTATTTTCCTGCCTTCAAACAATGAGTAAAGATGTTTTGCGAATTGTAGAAAGTATTTAAACAATCTTTTTATTAACGATGTTTTGAGAATTATAGAAACAGTTTTAACGAATTCAAACAACTGTTAACGATGTTTTTGTAAATTTTCTGAAACAGTTTTCCATTTCTTCTTAATCGTTAACGATGTTTTGTACATTTTTGCACCGGTATTCACGTCTTCAAACAATCGGTGAGATAGGTTCCCTAAATTTTCCGAACAGTTTTCGCAGCTTGAAAAGCCCAATAACGATGTTTTTTTTTTATGAATTATTAAAATCGTGTTTACATTACCCGAACAATATCAAAAACAGTAAAAAACAAAACATGATAATAATAATAAAGATATTATGGACTTCACCTTGAACAGTGATTGTGATGATGCAAATGTTGTTATTGCCGGCCTGATCCCTAACTTCATACACGAATTTTTGTTACTGTTGACGAACAACTGTTAACGATGTTTTTGTAAATTTAATGAAATAGTTTTAATTTCGTCTCAACCGATAACGATGTTTTGTACATTTTTGCAACGGCACTCACGTCTTCAAACAATCGGTAACATCGGTTTCCTGAATTTCCCAAACAGTTTTCGCAGCTTGAAAAACCAAATAACAATGTTTTTTTGCGAATTATTGAAATCGTGTTTACATTACCCGAACAATATCAAAAACAGTAAATAACAAAACATGATAATAATAATAATAATATAAAGGACTTCACCTTGAACAGTGATGGTGATGATGCAAATGTTGTTATTGCCGGCCTGATCCCTAACTTCATACACGAATTTTTGTTACTGTTGACGAACAACTGTTAACGATGTTTTTGTAAATTTAATGAAATAGTTTTAATTTCGTCTCAACCGATAACGATGTTTTGTACATTTTTGCAACGGCACTCACGTCTTCAAACAATCGGTAACATCGGTTTCCTGAATTTCCCAAACAGTTTTCACAGCTTGAAAAGCCCATAAACATTTAATGTTTTTATGAATTGTAGAAATCGTGTTTACATAACTGAACGATCTCGAAAACAGTAATTAACAAAACATAATAATAATAATAATAAAAATATAAAGGACTTCACCTTGAACAGTGATGGTGATGATGCAAGTGTTGTTATTGCCAGCCTGATCCCTAACTTCATACACGATGTCTGTGGAACCAAGAGGAAAAGCAGCAGGTTTTTCGTGAGATCTCCACACGGTGACGGCTTTTCCAGAATTGTCGGAAAATAGGGGTTCTTCCCATGTTACTGTTACTGGCAGGACTCTCGACAAGAAGATTGAAGGCGATACACATCTATCTATGGTAGGCGCTTGGATATCTATTAAATAAAAAAGCATTATTGTTTATTTTGTTATAGTGAACAACATGGAATAAAAAAAATTAGGCTATAGTGTACTATTTTAACCCCTTATAGGCTTTTTTTTTCCCTACAAAGTAATGATACGTTGAAATAATTTTAGGATTGAGATTGATTTAGAAAAAGTAATTAATTGATATCATTACCTAAAATTATTTTGACTTTAAAGACTCTTTTTTTTATGTGAATGGGGATTGGATTTTTCAAAAATTTTACCCACTGTAAAGAACTGGCCGTACAATACAAGCTTCAAATTGTTCTCATAAATAGCCAAATTTATAAATCCTGTGTTTATAACCACAAATAAACTCTATGAGAAATGGTTAAACAAACAAACGCTGGCTCAGTGGTTAAAGTGTTCGCCTACCAATCATCCAAGGTTTGAATCCGAGCGGCGGCTGGTTGATACGAGTTCTGCTCCACAGTGCTCATGTAAAATGCCTTCAACAGTAGGTAGCCTTTGCCGTCAGACTAACCGTGAAAGGTTTTCGAGGTTTTACATCTCCAAGTAACGCAAATGCGGGTTCGTTCTATCAAAAAGTCCTTCAAGTAGGCCAGTTTGTCCCAGTACTTGATCCAGGAGTTCCCATGTGGTCTCTGGGTTGGGATCAAAATTGCAAGGAAACGGAGTTGAGCATTGATAGTCGTAAACTCAGTAGTGGGTCGGCTGTTTAGCACCCGTCATAAAATAAAATAAAATAAACGAAAGCAAAACGTTAGAGAAAATAATTCTCAATGCTGGTTTCTCTTTGTCACTCCACGCAAACCTTTACTGCTACTTATGCGAAAAATTCATATTTTTTTTTTAAAATAACAGCTAAAATAATAGTTGGGAAAATAGCGTCTCATAGACATTAAATTTTTTTAATGAAGTAGGTGAGAAGTATATTTCCCAAGGGTACTAAAGGGTTAAACCAAACGAGGTAATAGTACGCATTTTGTAGAAAATTTTGTAACGAAAAAAAAAAAAAAAAACATTTTGTCTGAAAAAATCTCTACTTTCCCGTGTCTAAAATATTCTTGATTCACATTAAAAATAATCAAGAAATTGCTTTTATTTTATTTTTTAATCAATAAAAGTAAATGACGAAGAAGTAAAAGGAAAATTTTTTTTGAAATTTTAATGAGCAACTGAATCGATTGCGATTAAAAATAAACTATCTTTACAAACCTCGAACTGTGACTGTGAAATTGCATCTAGCTCTGTTTCTCGCACGGTCTTCTGCTGAGTACAAAACAGCTGCCACTCCTATGTCAAATCTTCTTGGAGATACAATGGCTGGTATAACAGTTACAGTCACAGGTTCTTCACTATTGTCATACGTAAGAGGATTTGGCCACTCCACCAGAGCACTAGCATCGCTTTCATCAGCATCCACAACTATATCTTCTGGGCACTTGATAACAGGCGGTTCTATATCTGTAATCAAATGAAAGAACCTGTCTCGTATTAGAACAATAAGTTATAACCATTTCTGTACTATATTTACTTTTACGATAGGTTTTATGCGCTTATATAAGGAGTTTCATACACTTATACAAAGAGTGTTTTAGTTTTTGAACCATTTTTTAACCCCTAAACGATCGGTTAATTTTCAAGAAAACGGTCATAAAAGTGCCTATTTCGTCAAATACACGTATTTGATTAGTGCTGACATCTAGTTTAAAATAAACTAACTGTCTACAATTACCTTAAAAATATCCTGGTACTACCATCTGGTGTGTAAAATGAGAAATAGAATGCTTTCCGGGCAAAAGAAATGAATTAGTTTTATTCTTATTGGTGCGTTACTACTGAACACTCTAGCACGGAAATTTCAAGGGAGCGAGAAATAGAGGGCGAAACCTCACCCCGTCATTTTCAAGGGAGCGAGAAGGAAGGGGTTAATAGCATTTGTTTTTGACACTATTTGAAAAAAAAGTTTGATTCGGTTAAATTTTTAATTGCATTAATCAAATATTTTTTTCTTTTTTTAAAAATACATCTGGAAGAAATCTTCAACTTCCGAGATTTCAGAAGAATCGATAAGAAATATATGACCTAGGAGAATTTTTTTTGGGTTTAACAGCAAGGTTTAAAGTTTAGGATGCTAAATTTATTTCTAATTGTCAAATTTACGAAAATAGTTCATTGCACCATTTTATTTTAAATATACAATGAAAAAACAAGCGAGTATTTAAAATAGAGAATAATATATGCCACTCTTTTATGTGAGATCTCACATCTAAGAAGTGGTAACAAGTTTATGGGTTGAAGAATTCGAATGATCAATCCCATCCCATGTTAAAACAACCAACTTTGCTGTACCTTTTTCAAAAAATACGAAATAGATTTTTGTATTTTTCAAAAAAATACAAATTGGCTTTGTTGTTTCAATCTCACCTCGCTCCATACAATTCTTCATTTTCGTCTTTTTACAAACGTAAACAATAAATTTAGAACTTCAATGTGAATATTTTTTTTTCTCGTTTTAGTTCTAGGTATTTTGTTCCAACCGATAAAATTCTAGGTATTTGTTCCAAAGATACAGCATTACGAACGGATCTCGTTCGGTCACATTCTCTATGGTGCAAAAGCGCCACGTTAGGCCATTTCTTTAACCGTAAACCGGATCGAAGGCGTTATAAACAGACCTGATCCGTTCATAATTGGGTATACTATAGCCTACGTCACAGGTTGTGTTATTCCTACTAAATTTAACCCATGAACGGCATTTTCTGCGAGCCTAACTTCAAGCCACAAATAAACAAACGAAGTGTTTGATCGTTTAAATAGCTGCTCGCCAGATTTTATTGCATTATAAAGAAAAGTAATTGATATTCGATTTTTGATTAATAACTGATTTATGTGGATAGTGGCATTTATGTGGATAGTGGCATAGAATTTAGCATTGCGTCATGGTAAATGTTATTCCTACTAAGTGGAAGTAGTTGTGTTTTTTTTATATTATACCCAATTTGCAAAGAAGAATAAACAGTGCTGAAAGACCTTTGTTTCTACCTTGGAAGAAGGAATACTTTTAGCTCATTTTTTAATAAAAGGTGCAACGAAAAATTGGTTCAAAGCGTTTATTGATTAGAGAATACTATAAATTCAGAAATTCATTTAATTGAGTAATTAAATGCAAAAACTATTAAGTTATAAAAATTGACATGTATTAAACCTAATGATCTGAAAACACGCAATGTCAATAGTATATTTCATTTGGAACAATTTCTCTACTTTTTGGTGTGGCTTATCTGTATGTTTCATCACGCTTTCCCAATAAGACTTTCAACAAACAGATCTAGATATAACATTGACTAAAAACTTCCATAAAATTGAATAGAAACTACATACCAACGCAAGTAGTATCGATCTCGGGTTCGCTCCAGACGCCGGAATCTATGCACTTTCTTCGTTCAGGTCCGGCTATGGTGAAGCCTTTCTTACACTCGAATGAGCACTCTTCGTTGAAACTAGATTTTCCTTTCGTGCACTTAGAAGGAGTAACGATGCCATTATGTATGGGTTTTAGGGGTGAACAGCTTACGGCTATAACAAATGAATTAATTACTTAAAAATAAATGATACATTTTATAAAATAAGAAATAAAAATATTTAGAAGTTCAGCAGTCCCTTTTAAATCTATTGGGAGTTTAAATAAGTTCGATCCGTTCTCAAAAGATAGCTCTGACTGTTATGAATGTTTCATAGTGACAGCTGGTTTCGGTGATTTCAGAGAGGTTATACATCTGTCAATAATAATCAGTTTATATGGCTTTGAGTTTCATACAAAAACCCTGTTTTTTACTTGGTTGAATATGTCAAATTTTGTGGTAACTAAGCACCATTTGCGGGAGGCTTTAATGTTTCTGCTTTAATTGCAAGAAAAGTGCAGCTGAAGCGCATCAAATGCTTGTAGAAGTTAATGGTGACAATGCTCCAACTGAAAAATCATGTTGGGAATGGTTTCGAAGTTTCGTGAATGGTGTTGTATACTATGAGCTGCTACAACCTGGCGATTCCATTATGGGCGATCGGTATAGGCTACAATTGATTCGTTTGAGTCGTGAATTAAGAGAAAAACGGCCGGAATACGAGCAAAGACATGACGAAGTTATTCTTCGTCATGATAACGGTCAGCCTCATGTCGCAAAAGTCGTAAAAAAAATTTTTTTTTGAAATGCTCAAGTGGGATATTTTACAGCACCCGCTGTATTCACCAGACATAGCTCCTTCTAATTACTGATTATTCCGACGGATGTAGCTCAATTTGGCAGGTCACCGGTTCACTTCTCTCGCAGAAATCGAAAATTGGCCCCTAACTTGGATCGCCTCTAAAGGCGAGACATTTTTTCACGATGGAATTCGAAAATTGCCTGAGAGGTGGGAAAAAGTAGTAGCCAGCGATGGACAATACTTTAATTAATCTGTTCATTCATTTTGTTCAAAAATAAATGCATTTTTGACCATAAAAAAACAGACCGAACTAAGCTGTACACCCAATATTTCAAGGAAGTTTAAAAAAAATGATATATCTTAAAAAAGTAACACTTAAGTGAAAACAAATTTCTTTGTCTAATAAAGTTTTAATTCTCAATGAAGATCGAAATTTAAATAAAAATGTATTTCACAAATAAATTTACGGTGTTTTAATTTTAATTATCTTTCATAAGGTTAGTGGAAAAAAAATTACCCCCCCCCCCCTATGACATAAGCATGAAATGATGCTTAGTGATAAAGCATAATTTCATGCCTATGATGTTTACGGAAGAGTTTTTCTAACTCCGAATCGAACCCACTCACTGAGTTGTTCACTAACATGAACAAGCGTGTTTATTTTCATATTCAGGATGATTGCGAAGCCTTTTAGATACCTGCATAATGAGTAAGCTGTTGATACACCTTATATTTCTCTAAGAAGGATACCAAAATATAAATTTGGATTTAAGAATGAATAAAATGCAAAAATGATATAATGGTTTGGTAAATTGAGTTTTTATAAGCATTAAAGCAAATTACCAATTAAAGTTTGAAGAATAAATTTAATTTAAACATAATTAATTACAAATAAATACAGAAAGTTAAAAATGAAATTAGGATCATTGTACAGCCATGCTTCACCGACCGTGCCACGAGCTAAAATGTGGATATCGTCGGTTGCTTGTAGAAAAACTGGTTTTACGTGACTCCTGCAAGTTGAAGTAAAAGTTCTTTTTTTTGCATCACCAAGTGAAGGTGAGACTACAGGGTCAGGGCACCGCCGCAGTACTCCCCCTCCAGCAAATACTACAAGTATTTGGGATTAAATCGAACTCTCCGGCCAGATCGTGTCGTTGTCTGCGGAGGTTCAGTAAATTGTGTGGTCGTTGGAGTTATCGCAGCATGAGGTAATTTTGATATCACAGTTCGCTCAATGTCTTTGAGGAGGAAAGCCGGTTTTAGACGGTCAACACTGATCACTGAAGCTTTTCCAGAAATGTCCAGACAAAAAGTTTTTTCTGAACGACTGAGTACTCTATATGGTCCATCATAAGGAGCTTGAAGGGGTTTCTTTACACTGTCACGTCTCACAAACACATGAGAGCATGATTCAAGAGTTGGGTGGATGAAAACTTTTACGTTTGCATGTGATGAAGTTGGAATTGGTTTCAGTTCTGACATGCAGGTTCGAAGTTTTTGAAGGAACTCGTGTGGATCAACATTTGAAGTTGACGGATCGAAGAACTCCGCTGGTAGTCGTAGGGGGGTTCCATAGACGAGTTCAGCACTGGTGCATCCTAGGTCCTCTTTTACGGCAGATCTTAGTCCAAGAAGTACAATGGGAAGGGATTCAGTCCATTTTATATTGGGGTGGCATTTGAGACCTTGTTTTAGAGCTCTGTGAAAGCATTCGACGAGACCATTGCTAGAAGGATGGTACGGTGTTGTACGCACTCTAGCTGCTCCGATCATTCGAGACAGTTGAAGAAAAAGGCTACTCTCGAATTGACGGCCTTGGTCTGTTGTGATTACAGAAGGAATGCCGAACCTAGAAAACCAGTTGTTCACGAGTGCTCGGGCTACCGTTTCGGCAGTAATCTCTGGGATGGGGATAGCTTCAGGCCACCTTGAGAATCTGTCAATGCACGTCAAGAGATACTGGTATCCATCAGAAGGAGGGAGCGGTCCGACAAGGTCGATGTGGATATGATCGAACCGTCGAGATGGTAACTC